TCAGACTCCCTAAACGGTTTTCCATGTTGGTGTGACGACATGGCTGCCGTCTATATGAATCTACCAGAAGTTCGAGCTGCCCTTCACATCCCCGATTTCGTTCAACCATGGATCAATTCCAAGTGAGGGACTCTGATATTTCCTCAAAAACTAGAACCTGTTCCTGTATTGATTCAGGATGCACCATTTTTTTCCTCAGAACTGCTGCGTTTGTTACAGTAACCTTAGCTTCAGCTGATCTGAATATTTTTTCTTGACGTCATCGATGCAGCGTCTGTGGTATTGATGGGGGATAGATGACGTGTCACTGACGTCACATAACACGTCATTGAAGCGTCCCGGGAATTTTTAATATTTTTCTTCATCAAACTATTTGCGAGCCATTGAAATCCGATGTTTTATTTTCAGCGACCCTCTAAATACACTGTATTACAATCGCAGTTATTTTGAAATGGATGGCGAGCTACAGTTTATTCTGAGCAACTACGTCTATGAGGTAAGCTCTCAATAATGTGGACGCCAATGTGGAATTTGGCGCGGTTGGGCTCAGGGAAGGCGAGGAGGGGGGAGGAGCATTTCTCTACCTCGCTACTTTCTTTTGCTAGTTCCAGTAATACACACGGCTAGCTTTGGTGAAACCTGTGAACACTTGTGAAGTGTAAACGAAGCTCATGCTATCGCAGAACTCTACAAGAATCTAGGCAGCGTTCAGACTCCGTTATGACATGCGTCGAAGCTCGACGACGCTCTGAAACGCGCTGCAATCGCAACAACGCTTCAATCCTATAGACCCGAACAACTGCACACAGGAATCGATCGGCGCCGCTTTTGTATCGAGGAAGCATGGAGAACTGAGGGTACGCGCCACCTAATCGCGCAGTCTGATATCGATTGGCACTGGCCGCCAGGGGGTGCCGCTCGATTCCCGTTAATGTCCATAAGATTGAGCGCTGTTGCGGTATAGCGCGTTACAGCGAGACAATGCCGGCGTGTCGCTCGCCTGGCCGAAGTCTGACGTGCTGCTTTACAATGTCTCCAAAGGCAGTGATCGATGAACAGTAATCCCCACAACCCGCCAACATTTTAGTCGTGGTGTAGTCAAAGGCGAATATTTAGACGAATAACATGCGGATGCTAATCTACAACGGTGATACGGACCAGGTCTGCAATCATCTCGGTGACCAGTGGTTGATCGAGCAAGTGGCCGCCAATCTTTCACTTACGGTAATCATAAACTGTCTCCATTCGTTCACTTGTTCACAATTACCCAGAAGTAGGCGTGCCTGTTCGAAGAGATTACAGTCGCTAGGTCGCTTACCCCACTGGAAAAAGACACCTTATTAGAGAAGAATAAAGGCTAACAAAAACATGAAAAAAGTCCGAATGGGGGCCCAACGATTTTTGAATATTTTTAGCATAAGGTGCAGCAGAGAGAAGTTGCGAGCGAGCGAAAACAGTATTAGCACGGGACAGAGACCAGAGACCAGGGATGAGTGAACAGGAAGATGATTGAGAGAACGAGATGAGATATTCTCCCTTAGAGGGGGGTCGCTATTAGGGGCGGTGCCTCTATCAGTGGGTGGAGCCACTACTGGGGATGAAGACCTCAACACTAACTTTCGCCTCCGACGCTCACTTTTAAGCCTTAGAGGAGGCACAGTTTCTGCAAATGCGGATCCGATCAGGCTACCTCAAAAGGAGAGGATTTTACCTATCAGATAGGCGTAAACTATGACTTCAAAGGGTGATTCACCTAATATTACTTGTTTCCAAACAAATTCTTTGGTTTCTTGTTGAAGTTCAGTTCTCTGTTGAACAGCCTTTATCAGCTCCTTAACCATGGCTAGACTCTGAGACTCTTCAGACTGTTAGCAAACGAGAGCCGTGGTACTACAAAATAAACAACACCTACGAGCGTCAACTGGCTGGTTATGAGAAGGTGAGTCGAATTTGCACTCTTCCCATTATTTGCATTTGAGAACGTCAGTAACGGCAACGTCCAAAAGTGCGCGTCGATGACGCGTACGGACGCATCGCTGCACTCTGGACAAATCGATATCTGCTCTGAAAGCCACCTGTGGCAATTGTAACAATGCAATTCATGATGCTGAGAGTTTTTTTTCGCTTTTAGATCTTCAGCAGGAACCTTCATCTGGTCACTGTGAAAGGATCTGGACATTTGGTTCCCATGGATCGTCCAGGCCCTTCTCTTCAGATGATCTATAACTTTGTTATGGTTAGTAGAGTGGTTTTGGGCGCTAATAGCCTTGGAGTGTATTCAAAGGACTTGAATTTGTCTCTCCCACTCCGGAGCTCCTTCTTCTTCGGGCTTACGCCAGATTAGTAATTTCAGCTTTCCATAAATAGGCCAGTGAATGCTTCTCCAAGGTTTTTATCACCCAGTTTTGTCTTCTTTTCAATCGACTGGACTTGATTACAGAACCAACCTCTCAGTTCCCCTCTTCCTCCCTTCGATGACGCAGCCTACGCCACTGAAACCAGAGTACGGTGGACTGGGCACTTGCGCTGCAATAGCCTACCCTTCCCCTTCGCCACTACCTTCTATTGCAGTGCCGACAATCCCCGGTATGGCAGAAGAAACCGAAGAGGAGCAAAGCGGCTGGGAAAATGTAAGTCTTTCGAACAGTTGTTATCATGCCGTATTGTGATCTGTTTGGCAATGGCGCGTGCGGCCGCGACGCGGTTGATCAGTTACCTATAATGGTGATGGTGAAAGACGGACAGCATATATAGACTGTAAGATACAACTATAAGAAAGTGATCACAGGAGTATAACCCCCTCACCTCCTCCCAAAATCAGTATATGTTTTCTTGAAGCGGTGACTGACCGCAACGCGACAGCACGAATAACACGTCAAGCATTAGCTCCTCATCACTGATAGAGCACCTCGTCCCATCTGACACCTGTTCGGTGGTGGATATATTCCGTGTGGTTTGCAATAGTGCCGGCCATGAGTGGATCTAGTGATAGCGATAAGTCCGACACCGAAGCGCGCGCGTCGCGATGCCGGTCAACGTTTAAGATATTGTACACTCGCGCTGACACCTCTAACGAGACAGTTGAGCCGAAAATGCATGAAAATGTCCTTCAAGTACTCAAGCGGAAGACGATTGTTATCTGCGCAGCGCTGATCCAACAATAGGCCATATAATCGTATGTTGCACACCACCTGAAAACCACACTAACGCGTGCCGGCCGTCGCCGATGCAGGACTCTAGCTGCCCTCATTGACAACAATGTGTGATGGCCCTATTCGTCTGATGGGTAGCTAAACAAACGGTTTCAGCAAGACCCGTGCCACATCTACGCCATAGAAAAAAGTCACCCGTAGTTGAAGGCACAGTCCACGGTTCATGACAAGGCGATGGAGGGCAACCGTTTGCCACTACATTTGACACGAAAGCGACGCCAGAGGAGAGAGGTGCAGAGAATCTCCACTTCGAGCCACTACCGCCACCTCACTTCATCAGAACGGGGGACTGGGATCCTCCGCAAACATGGGCTCACTTTTTTAGCAGCGTCCTTCAACTATGTGGATATTACCAGTCAAATGAATAGAAGTTTTATAGATGGACCTATGGATGAACACAGATCCTTCGAACCTGACTGATAAGGCTCTGGCTGATATGATCACCAATTTGCCCGGTATCACATTCAATGTGACATTCCGTCAGTTCTCCGGCTATCTCACTTCTCCAGTCTATCCCTTTAATCACCTGTTCTACTGGTAAGTAAATGATTCAGTAAAACGTTCTAGAATTCTCTTACTATTTTTATGATTCCTGTCTCTTTTTTAGTACAATTTTGACGTTGTTTCTCGAGGCGCCACATGCGGGGTTGACTCACGTCATGTCTGCTCGTCTGCACCCTCTTCGCTAATCGAGAGAGCGTGACATCTGTCGTAGCTTACAAGACAACAATGAAATATGTAATCTTCTTACTGGAACCTCTCCCGCAGATAATATGAAGGGGTTTGTCGCCTTGGAGCACATGCCCAAGCCTTACTGAACAGTTGCCTCTTTTCATTGCTCCTTCGCGTTTCTACATGGACCAAAAAGGACGCGGCCTCGGCCGTTGCGCACGGCTTTTCTACTATTCAAGTATTTGCGATACAGGGGGAGGCAAAAAAACTCTTCGGCCGAGTTACATATCAGTAAAGAATACGCAGCCCAGAGAGAAGACGTGGATACGAGTACCAGGGCGGAAGATACCCAAGATGTTCCTCGATAAGCAGGAGCAGGCTCTCGTCCATCACCTTCATGTACACCAAATATGAAGTCATCTCCAGTCGCAGCCTGACTGGAGAAGACCTTTGGAATTCACGTCACCTCCAAACAGCTGCGAAACTTCTAGTATGGAGTCACCCATACCTGGAGACCAGTACTCTCGATCTGGAAGACCTCCAACATCGAGCAGCTCCGACAACGTCGCTACGGTCTAGGACATCATCTTCACCGCAGTCGTCAAGGAGCGGGTTGATGGTATGGACCGGAAGTTCCTGGAATGGAAAGACCGATATTTTCTTCGTGGACCCCGGACTGAAGTGAACGCTGACGGTTACATCGACCAAGAAGAATATCCTGCCTTCATGCCGTCGCCTGTACCATCTTGGAAACTTCGTACTGCTACAGGATTGGGTGCCAGCACATGGAATCGAAAACTCTCGCCTACTTGGAATCAAAGGGCGTTGAGAACCTGAAAAATACTGAATATAAAAGGGTGTCACCTGACCCTCCATTAGGGTTTCAGCGAAGCTCAACAGGGGGGTCTACA